GAGATAGGTTTCAGGTTAGGAACTCAGTATCAGATAAGGTTAATTTTTTGTTCCTTTTGCATTTAGCTCCCACAAACTTGGATTATAGGTATGTCTCATCACAAGTAGCTTTATTATCTGAGACAGAGCTAGCTGACTTGGCACTAATACAGTCTGTGGTTGTTTTGGTCTCATGGCACTTCCAATTGTTGGGATTACAGACATGCAGCACTGATGCTATTATATCAATTAATTCCTAGAATGTACTCAGATTTGCCTGCCTCTGCCTCCCGAGTTCTGGGATCAAAGGTGTGTGCCACCACTGCCTGGCTCACTGTGTTGTTTTAAAGCAACAGCAGGTAGTAGGCTGCAAGCTGTCGTCTTCAGACCTCTCTGAGCTACGAAGAACACTTCCCAGAGCCTGTGGTTTACCACCTTTTGTCCATATGTGTCAGATCCCAGCACGTCATCTCCTACTTAAATCAGGTACTCATTGGTAGGTAGGGCACCACTCTGCCATAGGAACCCTCCCTCATCCTGTTGAATACTTTGTGGAGGGTAGACAGTATTTGTCCTGTCCCTCAACTGTTCCAAAGTGCATGAAGCTAGGGGCAACCTCGGTTGGTGGAAAACTTGCTTATGATGTAGGAAGAGTTCCAGTCCCCAGCCCTGAATAAAGTGTAATTTTATTCAGGCTCACACCTGTAATCAGCTCTCAGGAGGACCAGGTGATCAAGGTAATCTTAAGGGAGAAGGGATTTATGTGTTGTGTGTGCTTTTGTGTGTGCTCAGAGAGCAAGATGGGCATCAGATCCCATGGAGCTGCAGTTAAAGGTGCTTGCAAACTGCCTGCTATGGGTGCTGGAACTAAACTCCAGTCTTCCAATAAGCAGTATGAGGTCCTAACTGCTGAGCTCTCTTCCCAGCAATTACGCCAGTATGGGTCACAGGAAACCTGTGTTGGTCATTCTTGGTTGTCAACTCCACCGCAGTTGTAATTAACTAAAACTCAAGCAGCTGGGCACACATTCGAGGAATTTTTTTTAATTAAATCATTTGAAGTGGGGAAACTCACTTTTAATTTGGGTCTTTTGAGGTGAGAGATTCCCCTGTAATCTAGGCCACATTTCCTGGTGACAGCCTATACAAAGGACATAGAAGAAAGCTCTCTCTTTTGTTGCCTGCTTGCCCTCACTCTTGCTGGCATGAGGGCATCCAATGAACTAAGTAATTTCTGGATTTCTTGGATCTTCCAGTGGTAGACAGCCATTGCTGGACTAGCTGCACCACCCTCCAAATGGGCAGATGTTGTGGTTTGAAAGGATATGGCCCTCGAAGTGGCACCATTTAGAGGTTTGGTCTTTGTTGGAGGAAGTGTGTTACTGTGGAGGTGGGCTTTGAGGTCTCAGAAGATCACGTCCAGTGAAACAGACCACTCTCTGCACATCAAGCCATAGGACTCCAGCACCACGTCTGCCTGCACAGTATCTTGTTGCGCCATGATGATAATGGACTAAATTTCTGAAAATGTGAGCTACCCTAATTAAATGTTTTTTCCCCTTTATTCCTTTATAAGAGTTGTCATGGTCATGGTGTCTCTTCATAGCAATCAAAACCCTCAGACAACAGGGTTTCTCTGTGTAGCCCTGGCTGTCCTGAGCTCAGAGAATCACCTGCCTCCCAAGTGCAGGGACTAAAGGCCTATGTCACCATCATTCGGCTTTCAACCACCTTAATAAATGCCTCTCTCTCCCTCATTCCCTCTCTCCCTCTCTTCTTCTCTCCCTCTTTCCCTCCCTCCACCTCTCAGTTCTGTTCCTATAGAGAACACTGACTAATACACATTTTGGTACCATGAGTGGTTCTAGAGCAACAGAAGAGCAAGGATGATTTTTTTGTTTTGTTTTTTGTTTTTCGAGACAGGGTTTCTCTGTATTGTTTTGGAGGCTGTCCTGGAACTCGCCTTGTAGACCAGGCTGACTTCGAACTCGCAGAGATTCACCCGCCTCTGCCTCCCGAGTGCTGGGACTAAAGGCGTGCACCACCAATGCCCGGCTACAAGGATGAATTTTTAAGTATCTGGAAGAGGCTTTCCAGTTTGCCAACACCTACAGTTACCAAAGCCTCTCCTGGGAGCCCAGAGAACTGAAAGTCCATGGTGTGAACTAATTTACAAACTTGAGGAGACAAAGGCATTGATTGTCCTGATTCACTAATTGTGCAAGGCAACAGATTTGGTGACTCTATATAAAAATTCTATTATTTCTGGAAAAATAAAATGATTCTGATTGGTTTCTCCTAGTACCTCTGGGTAAATTGACAAAGGAAAAGAATGCAGTCTGTGATAAAATTAATCAACTTCAAATATCTCAGAATATGGTGAAGACAATGAATTCAATGATAAAACGAACCAGCTCCAGGGTTCTGTAAGCAGACAAAAGGGTTCTACATTTGCCCTGGAAGAGAATCTCCTCCTCAGTCACCATAGAGCTCAACTTGCAGAAAATCAAAGAAGCCCTCATTATAAGACTGGCTGACTTACAAAGAAAGTTCAGGTCCCACCCTCTAAGGGTGTCTGCGGTTACAATAAGGACATTAGCTGCTATGGACTGGGGTCCTGGAACTTGCCTCCTGGAAAGACCCCAAGAAGTTCAGAACTTTGAATCCTATCTCACCTGAGGAAATAGTGTCTCCACCCTCAGTAGATTAACTTCTACCACCACAACCTGAAATATTGCCAGAAACAAAACAAACCAACAAAACAAAACACCACAAAGGTGAATGCAGCAGAGGACTCAACAGTCAACTAGAGAGTGGCCAGTCCTGTGAACAGGCAGCCTCTTTCCCAATGACAGGGACAGCCACTACCAATGGGCACATGAACTCAGTGGCCATGGTGGCAGAGGTGGAGGTTATGGGCTCAACCAGTGACTGTCACTCACTGAAACTGACCTGGCTACAAGCGACCACTTCCTCCACGGAAAGGACACCACTTTGTCCTTACTGGAGGAGACACTTATTCTGTTACGGAGTTGCCTTTTCTGCACATAATGCTTCTGCTAAAACCACCATCTGTGGACTTACAGAATGCCTTGTCACCAACATGGTGTTCCACACCGTAGTACTTCTGACCAAGGAACTCACTTCATAGCCAGAGGAGAGCAACAGTGGACCCACGATCATGGCATCCACGGGTCTTATGCAGGGCTCAGGCGGGGGTTCTCCAGAAGGCAGCATACGTATACTCTGAATCAGCATCCAATATATGGTAGTTTCTCCTACAGCCAGGTCCACCTGCCTGGGAATCAAGGGGTGATTCCTATATCACTCCTGGTGACCCACTAAGAAAAATTCTGCTTCCTGTCTCTTGCAACCTTAGTTCTACGGAGCGCTTCTGCCAGGAGAATCAATTTTCCAGTGAACTGGAAGCTCAGACTCCCACATGGCTGCTTTGGATGTCCTTACACCATCAGAGTAAGAAAGGAATAGTGTTGGGGTGACAGACCCATGTCACTGTGGACTGGACTGCTCCTCCACAATGGAGGTAAGAAAGGTGACGTCTGGAGCGCGGATCCTTTAGAGCATCTATCTCATGGTGCTACCCCGTCCTATAATCAAATTCCACGGGAAACTACAGCCTAACCCAGGCAGGACAGTGAAGGTGTGGGTCACTCCTCCAGGAAAGGAATCAAGATCTACCGAAGTACCGGCTGAGGGCAGAGGAAATAGAGAATGGATAGTAGAGGAAGGTACTTACAAATAACAGCTAGGGCCACATGACCAGTTGTAGAAGTGAGGATTATCACTGACATGTTTCTGTCCCATTTTAAGAACGTGTGTGCTGCCTAGTTTATATCAACTTGACAAAAGTTGAGGAGCCATGGAAGCTGAGGGAGCCACACTCAAGAAAACGCCCCCACAAATACTGGATTGTAGGCAAGCCTGTAGGGCATTTTCTATTGATTGATGGGGGAAGGGTAGGGAGACAGCCCATTGTGGGTGGGGCCGCCACTGGGTTCATTAAGAAAGCAGGCTGAGGCCGGCAGTGGTGGCACACGCCTTTAATCCCAGCACTCAGGAAGCAGAGGCAGGCGGATCTCTGTAGTTCAACACCAATGTTACACAGAGAAACACTGGCTTGAGAAAGAAAAAGAGCAGGCTGAATAAGTCATGGAAAGCAAGCCCGTAGCCACCCTGCACCTCCATGGCCGGCATCGGCTCCCATCCTGACTCCCTCCAGTGAGGAACAGTGATGTGGAAGCTGAAGGCAACTAACCCTTTCCTCCCCAAGTGCTGCAGGCATGTCTCCTCACAGGGTAACCCTGACGAAGACAACGGGTTTCTCTGTGTAGCCCTTGCTGTCCTGGAACTCTGTAGACCAGGCTGGCCTCAAACTCAGAGATCCGCCTGCCTCTGCCTCCCGAGTGCTGGGATTAAAGGTGTGCGCCACCAACGCCCGGCTGCCGCATTCCTTTGAGCCAATGTCCGTCACTGAACTTGGAGCTGGGTTAAGGACCAGCAAGCTCCAGTGAGCCTTCTATCTCTGCCCCACACAGGAGGGAGTTAAAGACATTCTTGCCATGCTCAGTTTTTCTACATGTGCTGGGAATTTGAACTCAGACCCTAATATTTGTGCAGCAAGAACTCTCACCTGCAGCCATCTCCCAGCCCAGCAAAGTCCTTATGGAGATTTGCAGACAGCAGCATGGTTCTTTCGGGTTCCTTCCCTGCATTTAGGTCAGGGGACCCTAGGGAGCAGAAGCTTCCCACCTGCTTCCAGATTGAGGGTGCCTGCTGGAAAAAGAGGTGCCAGCAAGTCTTCCAGAGTGTCCCCCTTGCAGGAACGTTTAGGGAAATAGAATTCAGGCTAAAGGCATACGCTGGAGACAGGCAGGAGGGCACAGGACACAAGCGCGTGATGCACACGTGTCAGTCTAAGGCCATTACCAAGCAAGGAGGACGGGCAGTGAGAATGAAAGGTCCCAGGGAGAAAGACTGATGTCGGGGGAGTGGCTAAGAACTCAGAGTTGAGTGACAGATTTATTATCGAACACCATGGACAGCAAGGCCAGCACAGCCAGACAACTGCAGAGACACCGGCTGCTGCACAGGCGCACAGGCTTTCACCTCAGCACTCATCTGTGAGTAAGGAAGAGGGACAGTGTAGGCCTGGACAAGGCAAAGAGGAATGAGAAAAACAGAACACAGAAACTCCACCAAGTACAGCAGCCTCTTCACATTCCTGGGCACGGCGCCCTGGAGCTGGAACACCACCTCTTCCTTAAGGTTCTCAAGGGGTATCCATCCATCCCAAAGGAGCCATGACTCGGCCCCCTCGACCACAGCTGCCTGGACGACCTCTCAAGGAGAAGCTAGTACATGGCGAAGGGGAGCCCTGACCTTGCCGCCCCACTGCAACCCGCACTTCTAGAACAACCATACCACCCACTGTTCCTTGCTTACTCTACCACAGGGACCAGCAGGGACCCACAGAGCCCCGAGTGGCCCCCAAGTCCTAAGGCGGCCTCAGGTTGGACAGTGTATTCAGCTTGTTTTTGGAGACATATCTAATCTGTATCCCATTTGAAGGTTAGAACCCAGATAAGCAGAAGTTTCCTCAGGAAACACAAAAAGAGTTGCCATCAAAATGTATATGCCAATTCTGAGCTTTCACAAGGAGACCAAGGGGCAGGAGCAAATTTCTTTCTTTTTTTGGTTTTATGAGACAGGGTTTCTCTGTATTGTTTTGGAGGCTATCGGTCCAGCCCGGCATCGATCTCACAGAGATCCGCCTGCCTCTGCCTCCCGAGTGCTGGGATTAAAGGCGTGCACCACCACCGCCCGGCAGGAGCAAATTTCTTCATGGGGCACGGGCACTGGCATTGGACTGTTCCTGTTTCACACAGGGTGATGGAGGGGTAGGGCCAGAGCGGGTATCAGCCCAAAGGCTGTGCTGAAAAGGAAACATTAAAACAGATCCTACCCAGCCCCACCCTAACCCCACAATAGGAACAGCAAAAGAAAGGTTTTAAGTTTCGATTTTTTTTCTTTTTTCCTTTCTTTAAAAAAAAAAAGGTAAATAAATTAAATTGCCAACAATGTGGCCGGGCTAGAGTAGGATAGCCATAACCAGGCCATTCTATGAAAACAAAATCGGGTACAGAAGGGATTTGTGACTCGGGAAATATAAACAAGCAATGCTAAAGGAAATCAAACTACAATCACAGGGCTGGAGAGGGGCCTATGGAGGTACCAGGGGCACACCATGAGACAGTGCCGGTCCTGGTCAGCAGAGCCGACACTGCTTCCTGCTGAGTGTATGGACCCCGCCCCAGCCCTGCCCCTCCCTAATTATGAGAATGTGAAGGAAAGAAGAGTTCGAATGGGCATCTCAGCATCCCAGCCCGCACACGCAGCAAGGCCTGCACCTCACAGGCGGGCTGCACAGGGATACGCTTGGCACAAAGGTCCAATCTTCCCCAAGGGCTGTCAGTGATGACCGGGAACACCCTCAGCACTTCTGCTGGATGTCTGCTCCTCAGAGCTGCGGGAAGTCAGCAAGTCTGCCTGCTCGGATCCCCTGGTTTTGGAAGAGAGGGACAATTAGAGACTCCTCACTCCACCCTGATCCTCTGGGGAAAACAAATTTCTTTGTGCTTTCTGAAAAATATTTGGGAACCAGGGATCTTAGGCAGGTAAATACAGAAGTGGGGGTTTTCCCACCCAGACTGAAACTTTACAGACATTGTGGGGGAAGGAATATGGCAGAAGGCAGGAATCTGTGTTCCCCCGCTGAGAGGCTGAGTGAAGCGCCCCAAGGTCCTTTGTGCCAGAAAAGCAGGGACTTTGCGGCTGATGTCAAGCCATGGCATAAGGACAGGGGGAGAGCTCTGGGCTCAGCGGCTGGAGCAATGGGCTTTTCCAATTCTACCTCTTCCTCACAGCCAGCTGTGCTCTTAGATCTCCTCCACACCATGCGCAAATATCATGACGAGCCCTGGCTCCTGCACCATGTCGTCACCCATATGCTGGTTCTCGCAGGCCATCACCACAACGGCCTGCTTGCCGGGGATGCGCTTGGCCACGTAGTTCTCATAGTAGCGCCGGTTCATCTGTCTTGTCTCTAGTGTGGCCAGACCCTGGGGCCAGCTTCGTTCATGGGCATTTTCAATCAGCTCATTGACAATAGAGGCCGGGCAGCCGCTCTCCACCAAGGAGCGCTTGATTACAGCCTGGAGCACAGCGTCAGGGGTGGAGATCATCCCTCCCCAGCGGGTCACTCTGGCTGGCTGCAGGGAGTTCACCCACCTGTGGAGAGGGAGGGAGGGTTAGGGCAGTCACTCCAGCTCAAGCCTTTCTCTCCTTTGGCCTTTTCTTCCTCCGCAGGATAACTGGCTTCTTTCCAGCACCGTCCAGAGAACCCGGGTCTTTCCCTAGTTGTCCTATCCAGGTCACATCTTGCCATACTCAATTCCACGAGTCTACACTGTTATATTTTGAAATACCAATTCGTGTACAGTGCCTACCATGCTTCAGCAACTGCTCACCCAGGGTCTACTGAACGAAGAAACATGTTTTAGACATACACCGTGTCCCTCTCGTCAGAGTGGACTGAAGGAAGGACGTGTTCTGTGCACACACCGTGTCCCTCTCGTCAGAGTGGACTGAAGGAAGGACGTTTCTGTGCACACACCGAGCCCCTCTCATCAGAGTGGACTGAAGGAAGGACGTGTTCTGTGCACACACCAAGTCCCTCTCGTCAGAGTGGACTGAAGGAAGGACGTTTCTGTGCACACACCGAGCCCCTCTAGTTTCACAGACACTTCAGTCATCAACTATGTGTGCCTCCTAAACTGAAAGTGGCCTTAGACTTTCCATGTTCACGTGCTTGTTTCTGCTGCCTTTTAGAGACTTTCCCCGGATACACTCAGCCTTCCAACTCCTCTTCTCCCCCAACCCTCCCTTCCTCCCCCGAGGCAGGGCTTCTCTGTTGTATCTCTGGCTGTCCTGGAACTCTGTGTAGACCAGGCTGGCCTCAAACTCAGAGATCTGCCTGCCTCTGCCTCCCCTAATGCTGGGACTAAAGGCGTGCACCACCGCCGCAGGCTCCTCTGAGTTTTAAATTACCTATTTGGTCCCCAGTGCCCTCAGATAACCGACTAGCTGCATCCTCAGGGAGGTCCCCTCTGCCCACCCCAGAGAAAAGAAACCAGGACTGCAGCCGAGGCTTTGCTCTTCTTTCAGCCCGTCCTTTACCCAATAGAGGCCCTGCCGTACGTATTTCTTATTGCCTTCCTCTGCCGCTCCCCTGCTCCTTCTCTCTGGGGCCTTGGTGCCAGGACATGGAGTGAGTGACCTCACATCCGGAGTGACACTCACTCGAGGATCTCATTGTATTCGATTGTCTCCTCCAGGTTCTGAAGGTTGGGGTTGACACTGCGGATCGCACGCATATAAGCCTTCAGCAGCTGGATGTCTCGCTTCTGTGGGGTAGGAGAGCCAGAGGGACAGTTAAGCCAAGCTGCAGATCTGAGAGTGAGGGAGTTTGAGGGCTCAGGAACAGGCACTACAAGTTTCCTGGGGAAAACAGCAGAAGGCTGTCTCAGTCCAGCTGTTTCCTCAGGACACAGCTGAGTGGCTTCGTGAAGAAGGCACTCCACAGGTGTTAGGTGAAGAACGACGTGAGTGGGATGAAGGGAGATTCTGATCTCTTCTGAGCTGTAGGCAGAGTATCTGCTCATCTAGGCTGGAGATCAGGACAAAGGTGTGGTACTCATGGAGGAGCTTGTGATGGGCAGGAGGTTATTTACAGAGGTGGACGTGACTCTCTGGGCCCCACCTGTTCTGCCAGCTGGTGCTTGTGTTCAGCAGACGTCTTCTCCAGTTCTGCGATTCGAGTCTGCTGCTGCTGCACCACGGAGCGCAGGTGCTTAATGCAGTTGTGATTTGGCAGCTCATCTTTGGGCATCTCCAGGCTGCAGTTCAGAGGGGGGAAGAGCAAACAGGCCGTTCAGCAGGACCTGTGTGCGAATGGCTCATTCTGTGACAGGACACTGCTGAGTGGCGTTCTACCACTCACTTCTAACGATCTTTTTCTTCTTACTTTCTTCTCCCAAACATGCTCCTTGCCCCACTCTGAACTTTCACCCTTCAAGACTTAGTGTTGTAGACCCAGACTGGCCTCCCAATTGTGCCAAGGATGACTTTGGACCTCTGATTTCCTGCCTCCACCTCCTGAGTGCTGCAAGTGCAGGTGTGACCACCATGCTGGCTCCTGTGGTGCTGGGGACAGAACCAGCTTTGTGTATAGAGGGAAGCAAGCACCCAGTCAACTGGAAGTCACACAGCCCCACTCCCGCCCACACTGCTGGCTTCTGCAGCCCGACTCCTAGGACGCTGTTGTAAAGTAAGAGGGAAATTGTTGTGTCCTGTCAGGCTACTCTGTTGGATTCTACCTGCACACATATACTCCTTCTGAGGAGTCCTGGATCACTATCCCAGGTACCAGCACTTAATCAACTATTTCCCACCTCACACAGACAGCAAATAGGGCACAAGGGAACACGAGAGGCTAGAAACTGGAGCAGGCAGCCTGACAGAGAGAGAGTAGATTGGACTAGACAGAAAGGAAAGTGCCTCGATCTTCAGTGTCATCAGGGGTCACTGGGTTGCTGTCCTCTTTCTGTTACCAACGCAAGACCAAAATGACCACAGTTGGGAAGTAGGATCTGAGGCCCACAAGTGTCCCTTGCCTATAGGAGTGGGATGGGAGGCCCTTGTCTGAATGGGGTGGAGGGAGGGATCTCACCCACAGCCCTGTTCACAGGTCACAGGCCGCTTCGGGTTGTGCTCACAGTCACTGAGGTGGGACATGAGGTTGTCAAGCCGGACAACAGCACTGCAGCCAAACACAGCGTTGTCACAGGAGATCTGCAGCTTTGACAACATGTTCCGCATGATCCGAGGTACTGGGCGCAGGTGGGCAACGGTGACAACGCTACGGTCTACCGGGCACGTCTGCTGCTGAGAGAACCACTGGGTGATGCAGGCGTTGCAGAAGGCATGCTCACAGTGAGGCGCCTAGAAGGACACAAGGGAGTTAACAGGAGCCGAGAGCCCGGATGTGCTAACTGCCCAGGAGCCAGTCAAACCTCTGAGCAGGTTCTAGGGTCAGAGCTCCAGGGGTCATGGGGTCATGGTAAACTGCAGATCTATTTGGGGCAGGGCATTTTCAGGTCAAGGTGTAAGACTTACTTCCTGTGCTCAAGAGCACAAATGGGTTGTGAGACAAGATAAACAAGCAAAGGTTACGTAACAGGAAGAGACACAAATAACACCCCAGGACAATGGGGCGATGACACAAGGCAGTCAGTTACTAATTGCTGACATGACGGCAAACACAACAATGGCTAAATACGTCTAGAGGAAGGTGTGCTCTTTCCAGGCAAGGCCAGCCACAGCATATCCTTATGGAGAGGGAAGTTTTATATACAGGTCTTGAAGAATGATTCAGATTCAGTTTAGAGAGGCAAAGTCTCACTAACCACAGCAGCAATAACAAGAGTACAAGACCTTGGGGGGGGGACGGCCGCACACACCTTTAATCCCAGCACTGGGAGGCAGAGACAGGGGGATCTCTGTGAGTTCGAGGCCAGCCTGGTGTACAGAGTGAGTTCCAGGACAGGTTACAAAGCTACAGAAAAACCCTGTCCCAAAAACAAACAAGCAAACAAATAAATCTAATAATAGTAAAACCATGAGAGAGAGAGAGAGAGAGAGAGAGAGAGAGAGAGAGAGAGAGAGAGAGAGAGAGAGAGAGAGAGAGAGAGAGAGAGAGAGAGCTCCTTGTGGCAATGCATGTTGGCAGAGCAGGAGTCTCGTGAGTGCCTACCCTATATGGCAAGACCTTATTACCTCAGAAAACAAATGGAGCTGGTGAGATGACTCAGTTGCTACCAAGCCTGACAAACTGAGTTTGATCCTTAGGATCCACAAGGTAAAAGGATCCTTGCAAACCATCTGCTGAGTTCCATGGACTGTACACACACACACACACACACACACACACACACACACACACACACACACACACACACACACACACACACACAGAGTAAATGGAAGGGGAAAAAATCTAGGTGTGATGGTACACATCTCTAATCGCAGCTCTCGGGAGGCAGGCAGATCTCTTTAAGTTTCAGGCCAGCCTGGTCTACAAATTGCCTCCTCCCCCAAGCTCCTACACAAATAACCGGGCACTGGAGAGACGGCTCAGCAGTTAACAGCCCTGGCTGCTCTTCCAGAGGACCCAAGTTCAGCTGCCACAGGGCAGCTCACAGCAACCTTTAACCTCAGGAACCTAAATACGTATGAAAGTCTCTCTTTCCTGTCCTCTCCCCACACACAAAATAAAAAGAAAAACATAAAAAAAAAAAGACCCAACAACAAAGCAAGTAGCCATGGTCAGAAAGTTTCTTGAGATAAACGGCTTCTCCGTGTAGACTCCAGTTCTCGCTCTGAGGCTTGTCCTACCCTTTCTATGAGGTGTTGCCCCTGACTCACAACTGCTGCACCTGGGCTCCTAAACATAACTAGTGCTTGTTGAGGAATGTCACTGTTCTCACTTTTAAGATCATGGTGTGTGTGTGTGGGGGGGGGTAACACTCAGCTCCCAGCACTCAGAAGTTGAAACTGAGGATCTCAAGTTCCAAGCTAGTTGGATTATATGCCCATACCCTGTTTCAAAAACAAAAGCAACCCCCCCCAAAAAAACCCCATATATAAAGATGTACTTTATTCCTCTGAGACGGTCCCTGTGAAGACACCTTCTGGCAGCCAGCAACGGGCAACTGTGTCTAGGTCAGGTTAGCTTTGACTTAGTGTGTGTCTGCATTTGGGGTGTGTTATTAGTGTGTGTCTGCATTTGGGGTGTGTTATTAGTGTGTATCTGCATTTGGGGTGTGCTAGTGCTTATGAACTGTGGAGCTCTCTTCCACCGTGGGTGGGCGCCACAGAGTGGACTCAGGTCATCAGGCTTGTGTGGAATGTGCTTCAACCACCTCATGGGCTCAGGTTTCACTTCTCAGAGACTGACACACAGGGCTGGGGAGATGGCTCAGCAGGGGAAGGTGTTTGCTACCGAGTCTGACAGAAGCAGAGTCAACTCCGACAGATTATCTGTTGGCCTCCATTGTGCCAAGGCACACTTGTGCCTATTCACATACACAAAATAACAAACGATAAAGTGTTAGCTAAAGGATATAAAATACAGTAATAAAGAAGCTATCTATGAACAAATAAAATGAAAACAAAAAGCCAAACCCTCAACATTATGTATGATACTTCTCAAAACTTTTGCCCCCACATTTTTAACACAAAGTCACACGTAGGCTATCCTGTCCTTGCAGTGGCTATGTAGGGAGGGCTGGGTTTATAGGCCACCACGCTTGCTTGGGTCATCTTAAAATCTAAACATACTAAGAAAAATCACAAATCCTAGATCTATCTGCTCTCCTCAGTCTGCGGCTACTCATCTATTTCAAGTGCCTATCACATCATCTCTGACCTAAATTACTAAGTATGTCTTCCAACTGGTTTCTCTTGTCTCCTATTATCCAGTCTACACCTATCAGCCAGAACCATCATTTCAAAGTGCAGACTGGGGCTGGGGACATAGCCCAGTGGCAGAAAACTTGCCTAGCAAGAACAAGGTGCTGGGTTCCCTCTCTAACACCACCAAAAAAACGAAAAAGTGAGCTAAGTCCTTCCTCTCCTCTAAATACTCACTTTCACCGGTAAGACACTAGAGAGGGGCTGGTAAGATAGCTCAGACAGGGTGCTTCCCGCCTTGCTGATGACCTGAGTTCAATACCCAGGACTCATGCTGTGGAAAAAGAAAATTGACTTCTACAAGTTGTCCTCTGATCTGTGTACTGGAGTATACACACGCACGCATTCATGTATGCACACATTCTATACTTAATTTAAATTTTTAAAAATGTAATTACATTAGAAAATACTTCTTAAATTTTTATTTACTTTTTGCTTTTTCAAGACAGGGTTTCTCTGTGTAACAAATAGCTCTAGCTGTCCTAGAACTCACTCTGTAGACCAGGTTGGTCTCAAGCTCAAAGCTACACATGCCCCCATTTTAAAGCCTGGCGTGATAACACACAACTTTAATCCCAGCACTCAGGAAGCACAAACAGGCAGATCTTTCTGAGTTTGAGGCCAGCCTAGTCTACATAACAAGTTCCAGGACAGCCAGGGTTACACAGAGACACCCTGTCACCAAGAAAAAAAAAGTTCACTGAAGAGATACAAAATTAATAAAAACTAAATATGTGTCAGGTGGCAGTGGCCTTTAATCCCAGCACTTGGGAAGCAGAAGCAGGCCGATCTCTGTGAGTTCAAGGCCAGCCTGGCCTGCAAGATCAAGTTCCAGGACAGCTTCCAAAGTCACAGAGAAACCCTGTCTCAAAAAACCAAAAATAATACATACATACATACATACATACATACATACATGGTATCACTATTTGTGTGTACAGCGTTGAGGGCGGCAGGGCCAGGCAGGTGGGAAGGACTTTTTTCATCATGGGATCCAACTCAGGTCACAGGCTTACTTGCCAAGAGCTTGTACCCACTGAGCCATCTCTCCAGCTGCACCTTGATTTTGTAATCATTTCAATGCTTATATTCATTAATAAGGAAATAGTTCAGTGGCAGGACAGTGCACACAGGCCTTTGGAAATACACCAGCTATCACAAAGGCCACCTCCCTACTCTCTGAGGAGGTAAACGCTGGGATGGTGGGTGGCTCACTAACGACCTCAAGTGATGCGCCTTAAATGGCAGTGACAGAAAGCAGACAACACCCCGCCAAGGCCCAGGGAGCGGACCCACCCTGTGACCTCTTGACACCACCAGACAGTTGCTCCACACACATCTGATATGCTTTAATAGCAATAGGCCACAAAGACACAGGAAGGGTTCTAGCTCTAGGACTCACAGCCACTGTTGTGGAGTCTGAACTTTATAATTAAACTGGAGAGAAAGAATCAACTCAAAGTCTCGGGAAGCCCTGTGAATTGTCTACAAGTAGCAAATGAGATGACTTTAGCTCCTGCCCTGGTTTGGAAAATTGTGTTGTCTCAGCTGGCCAAGCAGCAAAGGACTATTGGTATTTGCAAAATGAGTGCAGTAAGGCTCATGTAGGATGATGTCCCACAAATGTCATTGTCAGTGATTTACCTTACAGCTTCTGAGCTTCTCAAACTTGTCCCAAGAGAACACAAGTGACTCAAGAGCCTGGTCCACCTGGTACAGGAAATGACCTATTGACCTGGCAGCTTTCACATCAAAGTGCCAAGGGCATGACTCCATCAAACCTGTTCAGTAGATCCTAGGAAGAAAGAGCACCCCCTCTTCTATATTAGACTAGAGGAAGGCAAATAGGCCCCAGGGAGACAGCTAGTCACACAAAGTATGACACTGTCCAAGTGCAGTGAGGACTGAACAAATCTAGGAGGTCCGTCACTGACAGAACACGAGCCTCAGAGCTCCTAGAAGAGCAATACCAAGCCGTGTAGAAGAAACAAGGTGATCGCTGTACACCACAAATACCTCAGCGACCTCAGAATATCTGAACCCAACTCTAGAAAGACTACAGAATGCTGTTGTTTTCCTTGTGACCACAAATTCTCCTCTGTTCTACTGGGAGCAGGAATGGGAGAAGAACACAGGGACATCCCAGGGTCCGTTCCTCAGGAGTATTTTTGGCATTTTTACTGCCATGGGCTGCCCCCACAAACCAGCCCTCAGAGCCACTCACCACTCACCTGTACTGGCTCCTCCAAGACTCCACTGCAGATAGGGCAGATAAGGTCCTCATCCACATCCCCCTGGAAACGCGTTACATCATACCCCATGTCTCATCACTGAAACCCAGGTCCTGAAAGCAGAGACAGGAAAAAGAAGTCACTTCAGAAAATGCCACATCTAGGTGACCACAGCCTCAGCTTACTGCCAAAATTCATCCACTTGTCCAACAGACATTCACTGAGGATCTAGTACCTGCCCGTTAGGAGGAATAAGTCCAGGTGGGAGCAGGTATTACATAAGTACACCCACCAATCACAATGCAACAGAAGCCTCAGTGGAGGCTTACACAGACAGGACTCCGGAGCCTGGGCTGGAAGAGGGGAGGGCCTGAGGAGTCTTCCAGAAGCTTGTCCTCAGGGCAGTAACAGCTATCGGGTAGAGGACTGGACAGTAGAGCATTGGGCCCAGATGAACTCAGAAAAGGGCTGGCCTGAGGGGTACAAAGAGCTGTCAGGACACAAGTCAGAACAGGCCAGCAAGAGCCAGGCCACCAAGAACCCTATGTGGAATTTGGGCTTTGTCACAAAGGCCATGAGATGTCACCAAAAGGCTTAACAGTGAGCTGATGACGGTTCTCTTTTAAAACCACTGTGTCGCTGGGGTAGAGTGCTTGCCTATTGTGCAGAGTCCCTGGGTCCAGTGATGCACACCATTAACCTCAGCACTCAGGAGGCAGAGGCAGGTGGATCTCTGAGTTCTAGGCTAGACTGGTCTACAGATCGAGTTCTAGGACAGCCAGGTCTACATAGGCCTTATCTAAAAAAACCAAAACCAAAAGCCCTACTGTGTCAATACAGAAGAAACTGGAGACAAGAAAAGAGGCTGTAGGTAGATGGTGAAGAGTCTGAACTGACGGCCTGCGATGGGGAGACAGAGGCAGCAGCAGAAGGACAGAGAACGGTAACGCTGCCATGGCTGGCCTGTGAGCTTCCCAAGGGCAAACCCAAAGTTGTCAGTGAACAAGGTCTACGGCCTCTCTGGATCCATCCGGCCGGTGGGCTAATAGGAACAGCCGACACGTCAACCTGTGATGTTCCCGGAGATGAGTCAGTTCTCAGGCTTGGAGATCAGACCATCCAGTTTTATTCTTATTTATTATTAGTGTGTGTACGATGGCGCACGCATGCACAGTACATACATGGAGGTCTGCAGTGGCTGCAATAAGCCACGTGCCCCACAGACTCAGGTATCTGAGTGCTGGGTCATCAGCCGGTGGTGCTGAGGACAAACCCACCCACTTCCTGTCCTGTTGTCTAGTTCTCTCTGTCACTCTCTCCCCCTCCCTCTCTCTCTGTATGTGTGTCTGTCTATCTGTCTGTCTCTCTACTCCCCTCACCCCATTTTCTCTCTGAGGATAAAAGATGTACTAGCCAGGTGCCTGCTCCTATTCCTGAACATGCCCACCTCTATGGACTCTACTTCTCTGGAACCTTAAGCCAAAACAATCCCTTCCTTAAGTAGCTCGTGGTCATGTTTCATTAAAGCAACAGAAAAGTAACCAGACAGTTCTGTTTTGATAATTTATATCCTCCTGAATTTTTAAAAAGTTTACACAGAAGCAAAATAACATCTTAGCATCACCTAGGGCATCTGTAAAGGAAGAATGAGTTAAGCACAGTGTGTTGCAAGGCATTGCACTATAGGATCTGAAAGATCCTGTCTCAGAAAATAAAGACGGGATCTCTGAATTTGAGGTGGTGGTAGCTCACACCTTTAATTCCAGCACTCAGGAGGCGGAGGCAGAGGCAGGCAGATCTTGGCAAGATGTAGCTAGTCTGCTTCACACAGTTCCAACCTCCAAACTGTACAGTGAGACTATCTCATAAACAAAACAAGAGGCTGGGGAGATGGCTCAGTAGGAAAAGGGCTATGAGTCTAAGGACCGTGCTGGGAGGCAGAGATGGGATCCCAGGGCTGGGCAAATCAAGAGCTCCAAGCTCAGTGAGAGCTTATTTTTATTGTTTTTCACTTCTAAGAGGGTACAAAGACAAACCAGCAAATTTGACCTCTGACACACACACTCCCCCATTAGGATAGTAAGCATGTGTCAGCCAGCACGCCTACTTTATGTAGTGCTGGGTGTTGGATCTGGGGTTTTATGCAACTGAGGGACACTCCCAGGCCCTAAACCTTGACTATGATCTATTTTTGCATTCTCCTCATGACTGGCAGTTTGCTGCATGGCTGCCATTTTCTCTCTGAAACAAACTGCTGCAGCTAAAGCTCTGCTTTTTTTTTTTTTTTTTTTTAGCACATAAACAAATCTTTTTCCTGAAGTGGGTACAGGCTCCAGGGGATTAGACATAGTCTTCTGTTCTCAGGTACCACACTCCAGCAAAACATACATACAAAATAACTTTTTTCTTTTGTTTTGTGTGGAACTCACTAAGTAAATCAGGCTAATCTAGAAATCACAGAGTTCCTCCTGGGATTAAAGGCCACCACTTAAGATGGCTCAGTAGTTAAGAGCACTTGCTGCTCTTGCAGAGGAGCCAAGTTCTGTTCCCAGGACTCGCACAGTAGCTAACAACCACTTGTAACTCCAGTTCTCTTCTGACATTCACTGGCATGCACACAGTGGACAGGAAAAAGTCCCCACACACAAAATTACATAAATCTTTAATATGCGTCACACATACACACAACAGTAACTTAAATGTTAGCTTCACTGGCATTTGTTTTATTGTGTTTTTTTTTTTTCTTCCTATCTTTCCTACAATGATCATGGCTTGGGATTTTGTTGTTGTTGTTTTGGGGGGACAGGGGAAAGGTCTCAGTGATCAAACACAGAATAGTGTTTTATTTACACTGATGAAGTCAACATTTATTGAACTTTACTATGTGCTTGTCATGATTTTAAGCACTTTTAGCCTATTAACTAATCCTAGAACAATTTACGAGGTACACACTATCATTATTCATGTTTTAATGACGAGTAACAGAGGCACAGAACTTAAGAAGCATGTCCAGAATCATACGACAAACAGTGGTTAAACCAGATTCAGTGAAACCCAGGCAGACTGGCTCCAGAGGCAAGGTAAAAACAGTGTGCATCGCAGGTCAATCCTTATAAAAGCAACCTTTAAGTCACACGTACAGGGCTGATGAGAGGCTCAGGGAATAAAGATGCTGATGCTAAACCCTCAAGACCTGAGTTGGGTCCTTGGAAACAACACTGTGAAGAGTGAAAACCAGTTCCTACCTCAATCATGTACCATGCCATGTGAGTACATGCCAAATATGCACACACACACACACTTTTTTAAAGTAATAAGAAACCAACATAGGTTTTTCTTTTTGTTTGTGTGTTTATTTTTCTAGACATGGTTTCTCTATAGCTTTGGAACCTAACCTGGCAATCGATCTGTAGACTAGGCTGGCCTTGAACTCACAGAGATCCAACTGCCTCTGCCTCCTGAATGCTGAAACCAATCGTCTTAAAAGAAATCTAGATTTAGAATTATGACTTAGCTCAAGTGTGACATATTTGCAAGACTGATTATTTACCGACTGTCTTTTTCTGTCTTGTTCTCCCCCATTTGTATATGTACCTGTGTGTCTATGTGCTTGTTGCTGTCTGCAGAGGAGGCTCCAGGCTGACATCAAGAGTCCTCCTTGGCCAAAGCCCAGTTCTCACTCTCACAATCACTGCCTGTGCATCAACTGGTTTAAACATGGAGGTCTCTCTCCCTCCCTCTGTCTCTGCCCCCCCTCTTTTAAAGATTTTTATTTTGTATACAGTGTTCTGTCTGTATGTCTGCCTGTAGGCCAGAAGAGGGCACCAGATCTCATTACAGATGGCTGTGAACCACCATATGGTTGCTGGGAATTGAACTCATGACCTCTGGAAGAGCAGTCAGTGCTCTTAACCCCTGAGCCATGGCTCCAGCCCCTTCCTCTGCCCTTTTTCTCGTTCTTAAGTGGCAACACAGATAATGGCTCATGCCTCTAATACTAACACTTGAGAGGTAGAGGTAACAGGATTCCAATTTGAGCTAACTTAGGCTACATAACGAATTCCAAGACAGCCAGACTACATATTAAGAGATCCTTCTAGCCTCCAAAAAAGCTAAGCATGGTGGCTCACATTTAATCCCAGCACCTAAGAGGCAGAAGCAGGACAATGTGAGTTTGAGGCCAGCTTAGTCTTTTTTTTTTTTTTTTTTTTTTTTTTTTTGGTTTTTCGAGACAGGGTTTCTCTGTGGCTTTGGAGGCTGTCCTGGAACTCGCTCGGTAGTCCAGGCTGGTCTCGAACTCACAGAGATCCGCCTGCCTCTGCCTCCCGAGTGCTGGGATTAAAGGCGTGCGCCACCAACGCCCAGATTGAGGCCAGCTTAGTCTTAACCTCCTACCTGTACCTCCCTTTGCACCATCAAGTCTGGGATCAAACCTGGGCTTCATGAATGCTAGGCAAGCATTCAACCAACTAAGCTTCATTCCCAGCCCCTGGCTTGGTATTTTCATTTTAAATCACTGTTAGGCTAGGGTATAGATCAATGGCAGACCACATGCCTAATATATGTAAAGTTGTGGGTTCAATCCCTAGCATGGAAACATAAAAGGAAAAGGAACTAGGAAAGGGAGGGAGGGAGAGGAGGGAGAGAAGGAATGAACAAACAGTAAGCTAATGTCTTAAAAATACCAATTACATTAGATGCCCCTTAAAATAAATAGCATGGGACATCCTGTATATACACAGATGGCCAAGGGGAACAGAAAGCTTCTAATGACTAAGGATTCTGCAGTCCCCTCATGGTCCCTATCTATAAAGGCAGAATTATAACACCCTGTGGAGATGCTAGTGTGGGGTTTGGACTGTAGCTCAGCAGTAAAGTGCTTGTCTGGCATGCTCAAGGTCTTAGGTCTAAAACAGAGCAACAAAGTCAGTTATGTCAGTGCACAATCTAATCCCAGCACTCAGAGGCAGAGGAAGGTGGATCTCCTGTGAGTTCGAGGCCAGTTCAGTGTATATAAGGAGTTCCAGGACAGCCAGGGCTACATGATAGAAAGGCCCTATCTCAAAAAACAAAAGACAAAAACAAAACAAAACAAAAACCCTGGTGGCAGCACAGGCTATTTCCTTTTTTAAAGATGTGCTGGCTAGTTTCATGTCAACTTGACACAAGCTATTTTCATCAGAGAAAAGGGGCCTCAATTGGCAAAATGCCTCCATAAGATGGGGCTGAAGGCAAGCTGTAAGGCCTTTTCTTAATTAGTGACTGATGTGGGGAGGCCAGCTGTGGACTGGTGGTTCTGGGATCTACAAGAAAGCAGGCTGAACAAGCTGTGATGAGCAAGCCAGTGAGCAGCGTCTGCCTCCAGGTTCTTGCCCTGCTTGACTGAGTTCCTGTCCTGCCTTCCTCAAGTGATGGCCAGTGATGAAAGTGTAAGCCTCCCCAACTTGCTTTTGGTCACGGTGTCTCATCACCAAGAAAGAAACAGGTGCCAGGGTTACGCGGTGTATGAGAAGGTTGTGGAGTGACTTCGGGCCAGAAAAGCCATCGAGTGTTCAAAGTTTGTTCACTTCTTCTGTGGGAGCTCGGATGGTAAGAGCGCTGAGAAATGCAGACAATGGTAGGCCTGGCTTGTGAATTTGCAGAGGGAAGTTTGAGAGTCACTTAAAGATTCTATAGGGGTTGGTGCATATTTTGAGTTAAGAATCTGTTTCTGGTCAGCTGGGGCTGAAGAATAGGCTGTGATTAACGAGACCGGAAGCCCGGAAGTAAATCCTTTGCCTACTGAGACAACTGGGGCTGCTCCCCTGGAAATGAGAAGTTAGCATTGACTGAGGTAAGACTAGCATTACTGAAGTAAGTAGACCAGGCTGGCCTCAAACGCACTCTGTAGACCAGGCTGGCCTTGAACTCCTAGAGATCTGCTTGCCTTTGTCTGCCTGGTGCTGGGCTCACCATTGCTGCCTGGTCTAAATTGAGGGCCTATATTCTTCATGAACTCATCAAATACCTAATTTAAGGTCTGCTAGGCTTCAAAAGACAGCAGGGACTCCCCGTTGTGCACCCGCACAAGGCACTATTTGTGTGGTTAATCCACATCTTTTCATACTAACCATACCGACTTCTTGCCAGCAGAGACTTGTAGGAGAAAGAAAAAACACACAACCACTGTCTTCAAACTAAGGCACAGGTATAACCCAGTGAGTGCACAAGATGAACAAATGTATGAACAAAATAAAACTTACTATCAACAAAATTAGAGACATAAATAGGAGAGCATGCATTAATTGTAGAAAGTTCCAGGTAACAAGGTTTGCAAGGTCAGGAGGAACCTTTACCAGAGAGAAGAGGCAAGTCTGAAATGAGATTCCAAATCAAGGCTGTTTACCTTCTAGGTGGGGGGAGGGGCAGGGGGGCAGGTTCCCTGTTTACAAGGTTCCAACCCCCTGATGCCTCCACTCAGTGCCGCTCAGGAGATGCTCCCAGTATCGCATCTTGTTGGTTATTCTCCAACTGAGTCTTTCTTCCTGGTGACAACTTTCATGGCCAAGGGGTGGGTATGATGTCACAATCAGAAGCACTCTATTAATAGGAACAGGGAAGAAAACATGTTAGGCAGGGGAACTACCTCCATGTAACAGTGAACCTGGGGAAGACTGGGATCTGGCGGGTGGGGGGCACCCAGGTGGAGGACGAGAAACTCCTTTCAGGACTGCAGGTTTCTGTACTACCTCACCAACAGGGAGGTATTTTGTCTAGCAGAGTCAAACATAGTGGAATGGAGGGAAAGAAAAAGCAGCCAGGCGGTGGCGCTCACCTTTGATCCCAGCACCTGGGAGGCAGAGGCAGGTGGATCTCTGGGAGTGCAAGGCCAGCCTGGTCTACAGAGAGTTCCAGGACAGATAGGGCTGTTACACAGAGAAACCTTGTCTTGAGGGGCAGGAAAACAAGGATAGAGAAGGGAAGCTACTGGAGACAAGATTGATTTAAATAAAAAAAAATTTATTGCTTGGTGTTGGTGGTGCACACCTTTAATCCCAGCACTCGGCAGACAGAGGCAGGTGGATCTCTGTGAGTTCAAGACCAGCCTGGTCTACAGAGTGAGTTCCAGCACAGCCTCCAAAGCCACAGAGAAACCCTGTCTCAAAAACAACAACAACAAAAGCTGACTGGCCAATGGCTAGTTAAGCAAGCAGGATAGGAAGTAATTTAAGTTAAAAGAGCTAAAACAAGCCTGAGTCATGGCCGAGCGTTTATAATTAATATTGAGTTTCTGTGTGGTTATTTGGGAACTGGCTGGCAGGAAAGAAAAGTCCACCTACACATATACATTAATTTCACAAAATTATTTTTATCTCATTTCTTATATATGGATGTACTGCCTGCATATAAGTCTGTGTGCCACATCTGTGCCTGGTGCTTGAAATTGATTCGTTGGCACTGGAGTTATAGACAGTTGTGAGCTGCCATGTGGGTGTTTGGACCCGAACCCCGGTTCTCTGGAAGAGCAGCCAGTGCTCTTAACCATGGAGCCATCTCTCCAGCCCCTGTATATATACTTCTTTATTCAGCACATATAACAACATGTCAAAATTTGCCAATTGGTGGCTATACAATATGTGAATCCATAATATTTTCCCTGTGCTAGCCTTTAATGTTTCCAAAGGGCTTTCACTTAAATTATCTCCAGTCAAAACAATTCTGGAAGCCATGGATGGTAGCTCATGCCTGTAATCTCAACACTCAGTAAGCAAAGTAGGAGAATTCTGAGTTCCAGGCCTGCTCTGGCTATATAGCAAGTTCCAAACCAACTTAGATTAGATGGCCAAGCCTTGTCTCAAACAAAAAATCTGGGCTGCAGATGCAGCTCAGTAGTAGAGAATTTGTACTGCCTGGCATTTACAGGCACTGGGACCCAATCCTTAGTACCATGGGGGGAATAAAAACCTGAACTGCACATGATGATGAACCATGCCTGTAACACCAGGACTGGAAGACTCAGAGGACAGTGAGTTTCAAGCCAGCCAGACTACACAGAGACCCCCTGTTTTAATAAATCAAGAAGTCTGTTTCTTGTTTTTTGTTTTTTTTTTTCTGAGACAGGGTTTCTCTGTGTAGCTTTGGAGCCTATCCTGACACCCTGCTCTGTAGACCAGGCTGGCTTCAAACTTACAGAAATCCACCAGCCTCTGCCTTCCAAGTGATGGGGTTAAAGGTGGGCGCCACCACCACCCAGCCTCTAAGAAGTCTATTCCTAAACTGCGTTCAAATCCAGTCTTAAATAAGATTTAAAATCAGGCAAAAAGCAGGAAAGCAGACTGACAACTACAATTCTAGCACTTGGGATCGAATGCAGGAAGATCAGAAGTTCAAGGCCAGCTTGGCCTACATGAGACCCTGTATCAAAAAATATTAATTTTTTCAAAACCCCCTGTCTCGAAGAAAAAAAAATTTCAAAACCCGGCTGGGCGTTGGTGGCGCACATCTTTAATCCCAGCACTCGGGAGGCAGAGGCAGGCAGATCTCTGTGAGTTTGAGGCCAGCCTGGTCTACAGAATGAGTTCCAGGACAGCCTCTAAAACAATACAGAGAAACCCTGTCTCGAAAAACAAAAAAACAAAACAAAAAAACTCAACAAAACAAAAACAAAACCCAGCCAGGCAGTGGTGGCGCATGTCTTTAATCCCAGCACTGTGGAGGCAAAGAAAGACAGATTTCTAAGTTCAAGGTAGGTCTGGTCTACAGAGTGAGTTCCAAGACAGCAGGGGTTACAAGGTGAGACCCTTCCTCAAATCATTGGTAAGGACAGAAAAGTAGAGATGTTCCAGGGCGGGCAACTTGGTTGGCAAAACTGGGCAGACCACACATATGCCTGATGAGAGAGGTCCTTCTGTGTATATGTTTATCTTACTGGTTGTTGAATAAAGCACTGTTGGCCAATAGGGAAGCAAGATAGGTGGGACTAGGAGTGGAGGAGGATTTTGGGAAACAGAGGTACAGTTAGTCATGATGTAGGATGCCAGAGGAGTAAGAGGTCTGGACCCTTTCTCCGGTAAGAGATGACCATGTGGAAATACTTAGATTAGCAGTTATGGGTTAATAATTAAATCAGAGCTAGCCGATAAGAAACCATAGCAAACGGCCAATAGCTTCATAATTAATCTAGCGTCCTGTGTGTTCATTTGGGACTGTCTCGGCTGAGGGCCCAGGCCGGTGGAAAAGAATGCATGTTACACATGCTTACAGAGATGGAAACAAGTCCATGTTGCAGTGTCCTGAGAATTTGATTCAATGATATACAGGAATATTAATCAAACTCCTTGTATCATTATGATATGTGTATCAACAGTTCAAGGGCTGTGTTGGGATAAGATAGGATAATGATAATTTTTACGCGGAATACAAAGTCTTCATCTCCCAGAATATGGTACATTTGTTCATTAGTTCGCCGTGCTCATCAACTACACTACACGTTCCGTGGGTATTCTCAAAATGGAGGAGAGAGGAGGGGGTAAAATCTGGCACTGTCCCTTTGTAGTCCGGAAGAGGAGTGACAAGTTGATGTCCCTCTCCTCTGCTTGTTTCCCCAGAAAACAGAAGGAGGAATGCTGCCTTCCTTTCAACAACACCCCATTTCCAAACAATCTGGTACACGCCTGTACCTCAAAAAATGCTTCCAGGAAGAGGTACTACAGACAATGCTTGGTCTCCTGGGGAGGGTCAAGACCCAGACCCAGAAACCAAAAAGCTTCCCGTGCTGGGAAAATTAACTCTCTGGAAAATAGATGACCAAGCAAAGAAGCAGGAGCGAGAGAAGCCTTGGGTTATTCCAGTCCTAGCTCTGCCACCTACCAACTTCAAATAAGCCATTGTAACCTTTTAGTTTCCAGTTTCTCTGACTGTCAAATAGAGACGATGACATTTGCCTTATCTTACATACTATCCCGCAAATCAAACGACATAATACATAGGAAAGGAGATTCCAGACTGCTACTAGTTGTAGCAGCAGAATGGCACAATAAATTCACAGTGAGGACCAGAGGAAATGTTTGAAATTGCTTGTTCCTCCTTTTCAACTACTGGGAAGCTGGAGACGGAGTATCACCACTAATGTACCCCTCTCCTTCCCTCACCACTATCCAATCCCATTCCTTCTTAGGGAAATACTAGCAGCCAGCAACATCGTAATTAACTAACACTACTGTGTAAGAAGTACCTGCCAAGATTCTCACAGGTCAGTCTCTGAGAACAGTGGCCTTAGTAACCGCCACATTTGCTACCAGTTGAGATTATGCTAGTTTCTTAAAGGAAAAGTGTGTCCGGATCCCAAACACGCTGAGTCCTGCTCGCTTTCGGCTCGCTCGCTCTCTCTCCTGTCCCCGGCTCTCTACCCACCAACTGTTCTGTTGGGCTGGGGTGGGCTTCCCAGTGTACAAAGCGAGTGGATGGATCCTGCGTGCGAGAGAGCGGAGCTGCAAATCATTCAGGGGCAAGGATGTCAGGAATGTAAGAGTCCTCTACGGAGGGGTGGGAGGAGAGAGGAGCGGCGAAGGAATAAAAGAAAGACAAGGCAGCCAAAGACAAGGCATGGGAAAGAAGCCAAGCTATGGCGCTTGGAGGGCGGAGGTTTGGGTTTCGCGGCTCCTGCCAGGGCTAGCCCCCAGAACGTTCCCTTCCTCGTCTCTAGGCCCGTCAATCATTGCCATTTAAACTCCACGTTGTCCCCTAACCCGAGCCGTCTGCCCCTCCCGTCGGGCCAGCCCAAGGCCACTCCCGTACTTCCCGAGGCTTCCCAAGCTCCAGAGCCCCCAGCTCCCCTCCCGACTCCTCCCAGCAGAGCTCCCTTCCTCCATTTTCCTCCTCCCCTCCACCCTTCCTCTCGATCCCCAGCACCTCCGACCCAGGCGCCAATCCACCGGGACCTCGCCCCCTCCGCTCCCCTCCCCTCTCACACCGGGTGAGAAGCTCGCTCAGCGCGTCACGCACCGTCCTGGACGCCGCCTGGGTCCTCCGGACGCGGGGCCGGGCTGCAGCTGAGGCCACGGCGGCCGCGGGGTGGCCTGGGTGCCGGCTCTCAGCCTTTCCCCGTAGGGGAAGGGGAAGGGGAAGGGGAGGATGGGGAAGAAGGTTCCGACCACTCCTGCTTGTCTCGGACTGACCCTTTTGCCACGCCCACCGCTGCTACGCAACGGGGCGGAAGTCCGTCACCAAGCCCCGCCTCTTTGTTTAACTCTGCGGCGGCGACCGGACGCTAGACCTCCGCTCTGGGCCGGAAGTTGTCCAGTCCCGGTCGGGACTGGACACCCATTTGGGAGGGAGGACTCCGTGCGGCCGCGGGTGTAGTGCCCGGCGATGTCACTTGGTGTGCGCTAACGCGCGTCTCGGGCGCTGGGGCGAGATGGCCTGGGGTAGCCGGTCTGCAGCTGCGTGCCCTGCCGCCGTGCTCCCCGCCACAGTTTCCAGAGCTGCGGTCTGCACGCCGGAGCCTCCGGGCCTCGTGACTCAGTCATGGGAGGGGGGGATCACACCGCAAGGCTTTGATCCGGGGGGAGTAAGGGTCGCCCGCCTCCCAGCCGCACCAGGGCTCTTCAGAAACTGCTGAAACGCTGAAGGGCTCGGTTTCCTAAGGTCGCGCCTCCGTGATTGGGGTTGTGGGTGGGAGAGAACCTGGGTTTCGAAGGAAGTCACCTATCTCTGCGATAGGTAAGGCATCGAGCTATGTAGGAAACGAAATTACATTTGCCCCTCAGGCTAACCTGGGGCCAAACAGTGTTTGTTATGTTACCTTTTGAAAAGGAAATTCACATTAGTGCATATGTAACTGGTTTGTTTATAAGAGCTAGTTGCCTTTGAAGACTGTCTGACAAGTACCCGAGGAAACTAAAGGTTCTGGGTATTTTCAGGTTCGAGCAGACTTTAAGATCCAGTGAGAAAAGAAAATAGGAACCGGGCATGCCTTGTGAACCAAATGAGACTTGCTTTTTATGTCCCGGGCTCCATTTCTTCCAAAGGAGACCGAGTCTGCCTAATGTCTTTCTAAAGCATAAATGCCACTTGATCCAGAGGCCTGGGCCGAACAGTATTAAAGAGGAAAGTCCTTATGTCTAAGTTAACGCCATGTCCTAGGCATCGCTTTTAACCTAACTTTACATTCTCATGTGTAAAATGGAATTTATATGTTTAAGAATGGCCGAGAAAAGAAGCGAAAAGACGGGCTGCGATTCAAACTTCTGCCCGCTGCATTCCAAAGCCCTTGGACCTTTTTCCATTGTGCCACTACTTGAAAAGGAAAAAAAAAAACCCCACAATTTTGAGAGCCTGAAGCACATTCTCGGTGCCTAACTGAGGCGCCCCCTGGCGGTCGGTCCATCTCCCCTGCGGCACTCATTTTCGTCGAGGCTCCTTTAAATCCTAAAGCCGCACCGTTCGTGGCGCGTGAATAACGGCCTCTGATTGGATGGGCGGCGGCTAGAGGTGGGGCTTTTCGAGGGCAGATCGGCTCCTATTGGCTGGAGAAGGTCAGGGGACACTTCCGGGAATGAGTGCGCTCCCGGGTTCCACTCCGCAGCATCCGGCGGCAGCCAGCCCCCTGGCTCCCCCTGCGGGTGGCTTGGCGGTGTGCACAGTCCCGCCTGCTGGCTGGGTGGGTGGTGGGCTGTGAATGGGGGAGGGCTCGGGGCGAGTTCTGGGTGTGGGGATGAGGGTGCAGGAAGATCCGCCGAGTAGGATTCTCTTCCCTGGCACTGCTCCGGGTTCCCTACGAGTCTCCTTTAGCCTCCCTGCTTCGGAGCGTGAGACCGAGAGCATCCTGACCGAGGGGCCTTCCAGCCCCTTAGCATCTTACCCGGAGATCTCTAAGTTCTGATCGTGAAGTACGAGGCCCCCAGGGAAGTTCGTTTCTAACCTCCCAGAAGGGTTAGAGAGGGACCAAGGCTGCGGGATCACCCCCCACACACACACGCCTGGTGTGCTGGGTAGGCCAAGCGGGAGCTTGGGGGCGGAGGCTCCCTAGCTTGAGCCTTCATCTCCGGTTTCCACTTCCAGCGGGGTGCCACGGTTCGGGAAGCATGACGACCGAGACCTTTGTGAAGGATATCAAGCCCGGGCTCAAGAATCTGAACCTTATCTTCATTGTGCTGGAGACAGGTGGCTATGCATGCGCAGTGGGCTCGTGGGAGCAAAGGGGAGGAGCGTGGAGAGTGGGGCCCACGGGACCACCGCCTGCGTCCTTAACTTGCTGCGTGGTCTGGGAGGAGGCTCGCCAGGGCCCTCCAGTCCCTCTCAGACCGGCTGGCACGGGGAGCTGCCGGTGGATAGAGTGGATAGAACTCGAGATAGCCTAATGCCTCACTAGTCACGCGGGCCTTTTCCACTCAGGGCTCTCTCCATGGTGCTGGCCCCTCCACATCCCTGCGCACAACCTCCTGCCCCCAAGGAGGGATATGCGCTCTGTTCAGCTTTACCCTTTAACGTCACTCAGCCAATACCCAGACCTTCACTACCACCACCCCACTTGTATGACTTTAACTCCACCCCCATGCCTTTCTTCCCTTGAAGGCCGAGTGACGAAGACAAAGGACGGACACGAGGTTCGGACCTGTAAAGTAGCAGACAAAACGGGCAGCATCAATATCTCAGTGTGGGACGACGTGGGCAACCTTATCCAGCCTGGGGACATCATCCGACTCACCAAAGGGTAAGCCAGGGCTCCTAGCAGCAACAGCTGAAGGGTGTAGTTAACGAGTCCCTACAGCTTTTCCTGAAGACTGAATCCTGCTCACCCTCACTCCACCCCACAGGTATGCCTCAGTGTTCAAAGGTTGTCTGACACTATACACTGGCCGTGGGGGCGATCTGCAGAAGATTGGAGAGTAAGTTCAGGCTTGGAAATCTGGAAAATAAGCCCCCGCCCCCCCAAATGTGGGAAAGTTAGGGTTTTGCAAACAAGCCTGTGGAGTCCCACACTCCATGGCTGGATCTGTCTGTGACCCAAATGATTGGTCCAAGGCTTTGACTTGTTTCTTTGCAGATTCTGCATGGTTTATTCTGAAGTTCCTAATTTCAGCGAGCCCAATCCAGAGTATAACACTCAACAGGCACCCAACAAATCGGTGAGTCCCTGGGTCTGCAGCAAATGGGCACAGTAGGCCAACGCAGCATGGTGTTGAGCATGGTCTGAGCGTGTAATCTGTACCTTCAGGTGCAGAGTGACAGCAGCCCTGCTGCCCCCCAAGCCACCACAGGAGCCCCTGCCGGCTCTCCAGGTAAATGCTTCCCTTTCTTTCCTTCCTCTGGCCCTTTAAATCCCCATTCTCCCCAGCCAGGAAAGATGTCTTTCCCAAGAGTCTCTTCTCTCAAGAGGTTTCCCTCTACCCAGTTCTCCCTGTGCCTTCATTTGGATGCCTTCTGCAAGCTCAGTCATGGAAGCCTGAGTCCTCTTTCCTTTCGTTTCCACCAGTTCAAAAAACAAAAGAATTCCTGCCCCACAGTGACAAATGACTGTTAAGAGCAAACAGGCTTAGATGTAGCATATTTAAAATATATTCTTGTGCTGGGTGTTGGTGGTCTACTGAGCGAGTCCCAGGACAGACTCCAAAACAATACTGAGAAACCCTGTCTTGAAAAACAAAAACAAAAAAAGAACAACAAAAAATCCTTGTAAATTCCTTGTAGGAAGTCCATATATACACACTCATATATATGTAAATATATACAGTCATAAATCACTAAAGGGAATATATTCTGAGAAATGGGCATGCACACACATACTTCAATTGTGTGGTTTACTTCATCCCTAAGCCTTGTAGCATAACCTATGTTTTCTTTTTAATTTCTTTCTTGTCTTTTTCCTTCCTTTTTCTTTTTTTAATACAGGCCTCAAATTCATAGAAATTCCCCCTGCTTAGACCTCAGTAGTTCTGGCATTAAAGGTATAGGCTACAATTTTTAAAATCATATTGTTTTCATGACCATAATCCCAGCACTTGGGAGGAGATGAGGCAAAAGAATTGTCACAAGTTCCTGTCTAGTCTAGGGTTTAAAGTGAGACCTGTCCCAAACCAACAACAAGAACAACAAACACCAAATTTTGATTTCCTTTTTCAAGTAGAAGAGCTCTATTCAGAAATAATAAAGCAAATACAGTGTAGCAGGGTGTGATGCCACACATCACAGCACTAGGGAGGCAGAGGCAGGAGAATCACTGTAAGTTTGAGGCTAGCCTACTCCACATAGCAAATTCCAGGCCAAATACACAGCAAAACCTTGTCTCAAAAATGCAAAAAGTCATGCTGTGACGCAGAATTTCTTTAATACCAGCACTTGGGAAGCAGAGGCAGGTAGGTCTCTGAGTTCCAGACCAGCCTGGTCTACAAGAGTGAGTTCCAGGGCAGCCAAAGCTATATAGAGAAACACTGTCTTCAAAAACCAAACAAAAAAACAAAAAGAAAGAATTGTAACTACTTAAGCAAGTAACATATGATCATGTGGTCATTGACTATAAAGTGATACACTGTACATAATTGCCTTTTTGAGGCCCACAGCTCTGCAGGCTGGTTTACACCCTCATCACAACAAACTCATTAGTGTTTTATTAAGCTGCGATTGCTATGGCTGCAGTATCACTAGGCAATGTGAAGTTTTTGATTTGTTGTAGTCAGTCTGGTCTACAGAACTACTTTCAGGACAGCCAGAACTACACAGAAACCCTGTCTCAAAAAAGAAAAAAATGGCCGGGCGGTGGTGGCACAGACTTTTAATCCCAGCACTCGGGAAGCAGAGGCAGGCAGATCTCTGTGAGTTCGAGACCAGCCTGGTCTACAGAGTGAGTTCCAGGACAGGCTCCAAAACAATACAGAGAAACCCTGTCTCAAAAAACCAAAAATGAGAAAAGTGATATTTTTATCTGCTTTTACTTTATATGTATGTTTTGCCTACATGTGTGTCTATACCACATGCATGCAGTGCCCAAGGAGGCCAGATGAGAGTAACAGATCCTCTGGAACTGGAGTTACAGATGGTTGTGAGCTGCAGTGTGGGTGCTGGGAGCCAAACCTGGGTCAGCTGGAAACGGCGCCAGTGCTTCTAACCACTGAGTCGTGGCCTGAGCCCTTTTTGATCATCTCCTTGATCTGTCCATTGCTGGCTGAGGCAATGGACACATATCCACAGTTACAAATGACGAGAATGAATTTGTGTGTTCATGCTCAGTTCTGTTTCTCCATTCTCAGAATGGGCCACCCAAACCTAGCAGAGCAATGCACACCTTTAATTTCATCTCTTGGGAGTCACCGACAGGAGGATCTGAGTTCAAGGCCAGCCTGGCCTACTTAGTGAGTTCCAGGATAGTCAGGACAACATAGAGTCTGTCTCAAAACAAAAAATACCAGAATGAGCCACCCACAGTGGGCTGGGTCTTCCCACATAACTATAGTCCCTGGCAGATAGGCAAATAGGCCAACCAATATCCTTCCTATGATATATGACTGTATATGTTACCTACTGGTTCTGACTTTGTGGAGAACCTCCAATGACATAAAAATTGATACCATTTAATTCCACCATAAAAATTAGCATCTATGTTTTCAGTTGAAAATGACTTAAGGGCTAGAGAGATGACTTGGAGGTTTAGAGCACTGGCTGCTCCTATAGAGGGCCTGGTTTGGTTCCCAGGGTCTTCATGGCAGCTCCAGACAATCTGCAACTCTAGTTCCAAGGGATCCAATGCCCTTTTTGGCCTCAGATGTCCTGCTCAGACAATGTGGCGCACACACACACACTTACACAGAAAATAAAAATAAATGTAAAAAAGGAAAGGAGAATGACTTATTGTTGGGTATGACACCTGATACCTATAATCTTCACACTTGGGAGGTTGTAGTGGGAGGGATCATTCCAGGTTGGTGGCTAACCTGAACTACATAGCAAGTATCAGGCCAGTCAGAGACCCCCCGTCTCAAATAAATGAAGAAAAAAGGAAAGATGTGACTGTTGGACCTGAAGGCAGTTCAGTGCCAATGCCTTGGGTTCAGTTGATAAAATAAACAATAGAAGGCTGGGTTGTGGTGGTGAAGCCTTTAATTCTGGCACTCGGGAGGCAGAGGCAGATAGGTCTCTGTGGGTTCGAGGCTAGCCTGGTCTACAGAGACAGTTCCAGTACAGCCAGACCTTCACAGAGAAATCTTTTCTTAAAAAAAAAAAAAGTTGAAGGAGAAAATAAAAATAGAATAGTAGAATATTACTTTTGCAGGACTTTTTTTTTTTTTTTTTTTTTGTAGAGGGTTTCATTTAAGGCTGGCCTCAAACTTACTACATAGCTAAACCTGACCTGGAATCTTTGCCTTTCCTGCCTCCCCCCTCCAAGTGATGGACTAGAGGCATGCTACCATCATATCTAGATACAAAAATATTTCTAATAAGGTACAGCCAGGAGCCAAGCATGGTTGCCATCTAGAACTTGAGCAGCAGAGGCAAGGGAGTCACTACAAGTTCTGAGGACAGTGTGAGCTCCACAGAACCACAGAATGAGTTCCAGGCCAGCCTGGTCTCCATAATGAGACTGTCTCAAAACAAAACAAAAAAAAAACAAAAAACAAAAAAACAAAGAAAAGGTACACCTGAGGCCAAATATCCCTAAAATTCACTTGCCAAACATTTATTCTCTTTGTCATCTGCTGCTAGAAATAAGAGGTGTTTTTCATGTTTGGTTTAGTATTGTTTGCTTTTAGATCTTTTTATTGTATATTTTTTTCTATATTTACTTACTTTGGAAAGGAGCACTCATGTGTCACAGTGGGCACGTGGAAATCAGAGGACAGGTTATGGGTGTGTGTTCTCCTTCCGCCATGTGAGCTCCAGAGAGGGGATGCAAGCCACCGGGCTTGTCTGCAAGTCTCTTACCTGCTGAGCCATCTTGCCGGTCTCATGAGAGTACTGTAGTAGTGGTGATAGTGGCTGTTTTAAGACAGGTCTCATGCTGGGCATGGTGGCACACGCCTTTAACCCCAGCACTCAGGAGGCAGAGGCAGGTGGATCTCTGTGAGTTCCAGGCCAGCCTGGTCTACAGAGCGAGTTCCAGGACAGGCTCCAAAGCCACAGAGAAACCCTGTCTCGAAAAAACAAAAAAACAAAACAAAAACAAAAGACAGTAATTTAGTTTCTATGTCATTTAGGGTTCATACAGGCAGTCTCTGTCTTCATTTACTTACTAGATGTCAAGGAGATAAAGCTCAGTGCCTGCCTTTTGGGGCTTGTATCCTCTGGGAGTAACAATTACAATACTGTGATAGGGGCAGGTCTCACAGTCATTGACTCTGCTAAAATGTTTAAAACACATGGATATGGGAATCAGCAGGATGGCTCAGGAGGTACCGCTCCATGACATTAAGCCTGACAACCCCTAGAACATTGACATGGTAGGAGGCGAACAACTCCCAAAGGTTGTATGCACACACACTACAAAATACATGCAGTGGGGGTGGTAAATAGCTAAGTGGCTCGGTGGTAGAGGGATTCAATCCTTGGGCTCACTTTTGTTTTTTGTTTTTTGTTTTTTCGAGACAGGGTTTCTCTGTGGCTTTGGAGGCTGTCCTTGAACTAGCTCTTGTAGACCAGGCTGGCCTCGAACTCACAGAGATCCGCCTGCCTCTGCCTCCCGAGTGCTGGGACTAAAGGCGTGCGCCACCAACGCCCGGCTCCTTGGGCTCACTTTTAATTGTATCATTGTGCTGGGTGTCTAATCGAAGACCTCTCACATGATAGACCCAGCCCCATCTTTTCGTTAGGACATCCTTTCAGAGGCCTTTGAGCCTTGAACCAAACAGCTAATTCTAGGTGTGATTCCCAATGATATGGAGAGACATAAAAGAAACATATTATATCAGGGTTCATGGAGCAGCTTCCAAAATTATCAAGGGGTCCCGCTCATACTTGTAGCCCACAGCTTTTTGCATCCTATTCAGGACTGCCTGCCTAGGGGATGGTGCCACCCACAGTGGGCTGGGTCATACCACAAAATTAAGTCAATTACAATCCCCTGTATACACGCCCACAGACTAACCAATCCTTCACTGACTCTTACCCAAAGACTCTAGGTTGTATCAAGTTGACAAAATTATCAAGGCTCCCCTGCCACAATGGTCATGGACTTCCCTGCTGAACTGTAAACCCCAATAAACTTTTATTAAAAAAAAAATGATCCCTGTCTCAAAAAAACCAATAAATAAGTAAATGATTGTCAAGGCTAGAGCACAGCTCACTTGGTCAGCATGCATGCAGTTGTGCATGGTGACAACTCACCCACTCACGGGACTCTCTCTCACCTAACTAATTCTGCGTTTCTTCTACAACCAGCTTCCGAGAGCCAAAACGGGAACGGACCAAGCACCCAACCGGGCCCGGGTGGTGGCCCCCATCCCTCTCACACTGCCTCACATGCCCCCAGCACCCGAATCACTCGAAGCCAACCAAACCACACCCCTTCTGGCCCCCCTGGCCCCTCCAGCAACCCTGTCAGCAACGGCAAAGAGACCCGCAGGAGCAGCAAGAGATAGCAAGAGACGAGTTCTCTCCCTTCCATCACAACCACGACCCAGGCGTCTCTGCCAGAGAACAAGACAGTCTCCTGCTGGGCTTCTGGCCTTAGATTGGAGGGTGGGATAGCTGTATTTTAGCCACGAAGTTTCCCCAGAGGGGTGGTGAGCAGTGGCCTCACCCGCCTCAAGCTTCTGCCCTGCTTGTCCTGCTGACATTGCCTGTCCCCTGGGATCCAGTGCCCTCTGCCTGCCCTCCTTCCTCTGGAAACGACAGTCTGCTTCTTTTTTGGTGTGTGTGGGATCCCTCCTTCCTAATAAATGCACCCACTCTCTTCTGGACTCCTTTGTTTTTTGTAGGAATGGAGGTTAGCAGGTGTGCAGTTAAGGAGTGTAGTGCCCAGGCAAGGAGGCCTTGAGCAAGGCAAGCCTGCCCCTTTAAGGTAGTGTCCCTCCCCTGCCCCCTCCCTGCCGGTGACCCTTGTCCAGCCTTGCCTGCCACAAGAAGGCTGGGTGCCCCTTCCTCTGGGTGTTCTGTCTCCCGTCCTGCTGTCAGGTAATGCCAACCCCAAACCCCTGGACCAATCACCCCAATCAGACTTTGATCCCCGACCTTAAGCCAGGTCAGGTGTCAGAGGGGAGCCTGTTCTGGCTTCTTCCCTTATGTTCATTTATTACAGAATCGGGCGTGCTGTCAATGGCTGCTGGAGTGGGGAATTGTCCTCTCTTCTGCTCCTCAGGGTGGGGGACTGCTATGTGTCTGGGATTGCTAATTATCTGCCTCCTCCCCTGCTCTCTCCCCTGCGCCCCCAGTTTAGGGACACCTTGGTTCAGCTTTGCAGGGAGTGTGGGGATGGGGTTGGAAGCTGATGAAGCAGCTTAGTACCAGATGTAAGGTACTCGGGGAGGGGATATTCAAGAGGCGGGGGGGGGGCATGATACCAAATGGGTTATAAGATATTTAAGAGGAAAAAAGCTGAGCACAGGTTCTTAACCATGTGCTTTCCCAGGGCAGAGGGTGGCCCCTCCCCAGTCAGGGCCTAGCAGAGACTGACTTTTGACCCCCCCATACCAGAGACCAGTGAACCATTAACTCCTATATGAACCTTCCCACACTTGCCCCACCCCCAACTCCACCCCAAAGCAGCTGGGAAGGGAGAGCCTATCCATTCCAGTCCTGTGCAGGACGTGGCTTCCCTTGCACCTGAAGGCTCAACTCCTGACTCAGGAATCTTCTAAGGGCCACAGTGAGGTCTTCCAGGGACCTGCGGTGACAGCTCTCACATTGCCAGTAGGGGTGAGGCCCTGCATATTGAGGGGGAATAGGGAGCTGGAGCAAGGTGAGAGGCAGGTCTAGGGGGCCTGAGATGTTAGCTGACTCTGGACCAGATGTAGGGAGAACTCCGGGCAGGAGGCGGCTGCAGAAGACAGAGGGGAGGGACAGAGGAAGCCTGAGCCTGCAGAGGCCTCTCAGCTGCATCAAGTGTATACCACCGTTCTCTCCAGGCCTGAGCCGAAGGGCGGAACCCCTGACCTGACCCCGACACCCCCTCCTTGTTCTAGGACACAATCCTCAGGATGTTCCAAAGGAAATAGAAGTCAGAACCAGAGGCCCTGACCCATACTCCAGCGATGGGGCCCCCAGGGCGCTGTCTGTTGGCTGGCCTGTGCGTGGGGGTGGTCCTGGGCTGGGTAAGAGGCTCAGTCCCCAGCCTGGGTCCAGCTGAACAGGAACAGAACCACTACCTGGCCCAGCTGTTCGGCCTGTACGGAGAGAACGGGACACTCACTGCAGGGGGCCTGGCCCGGCTTCTCCACAGCCTAGGGCTGGGCCGGGTTCAGGGGCTTCGCCTGGGACACCATGAGCCTCCAACGGGACGGGCTGCACCCCCAAGTGGCGACAATTTCACACACAGGTACTCATGTCTCCCAACTCCCTAAGGTCACATCTCCCGGCTCCACTCAGTGCTAACCCTCTAGTTGCCTAGTGCTGCCTTCTTGAAATGAACCCCCAGAATGACAAGTCCTCTAGGCCCCGACCACTCCGTGTCCTGCAAGGTCTCGCTTACCTCTACTGCCTTTTACTTCTCCTGGCCCAGATCCTTGGGTACTCAGAGCCCTTTGTCTTGATACACATCTCAATGTGGCTTCCTCCCCCAGACCCACAGCTACCCACCCTAGCCTCTCCCATAAACGACAGCTCTCAGACACCCCTGGGACTGACTGGCTGTGGCTGTCCCTCCTCCACCAGACTCAGGGCAGGTGTCTGGGAACGTGAGTGAGTCTCTTTTTTTTTTGTTTTGTTTTGTTTTGTTTTTTTTCGAGACAGGGTTTCTCTGTGGCTTTGGAGGCTGTCCTAGAACTCGCTCTGTAGACCAGGCTGGCCTCGAACTCACAGAGATCCGCCTGCCTCTGCCTCCCGAGTGCTGGGATTAAAGGCGTGCGCCACCAACGCCCGGCGAGTCTGACTCTTAATTCATCTGATGTAGGCCCCAGGAACCGGAGCTGAGTGTGAATGTCTGGGCAGGAATGCCTCTGGGTCCTTCAGGCTGGGACCTGGAGGAGTCAAAGGCCCCCAACATGCCCCATGAGCCAGGGTCCTTGGGCCTAGACCTCTTTCACAGACTTCTGCTGCTGGACCATTCGTTGGCTGACCATCTGAATGAAGATGTAAGTCTGACGGTCTCTAGAGAGGGGACAGGAGCTGTGGCACTAGGTGGCCTGAAGTATTTGAAGAGTCGCTAACTGAATAGTATTAGATATGTTGTTCTAATAGTGAAAGATACCTCCTTTGGCTTTAGTGCAGGCTGACCAGATTCAGGAGCCATACTTAGCGAACAAGCAGTTCAGAGAAGTATCTTAGGGTGGGTATGGAGAAGTGTCCTGGAGACAATGCTGTGTCTCTCTAGAAAAGCAGTCAATTTTTTCCCCTCGTTTCCCATCCACAAGAAGGCAGACAAAGCTGTCAGGCCCTGAGATCAGTTGACATGCCCCCATCAGAAGGGGCATTCCGGCCTAGGCTGGATCAATTCATGACAGGTGTGTTGACAAAAGACAGGCAGCATGTCAGTTCCTTTCTCTTCTGGGATTCTAGTACGGAGGGTTCTAGTTGAGCTGCCAAAACAGCTCCATCACTAAAACAAAGACTGCCAGGGCACGAGAGGGAAACGGCAGAGTCACTAGACAACTGAGAAATTCATGCTGAATACTTACACGGGACTGAATACGCGGTGACTAGCACACATCAAGTCCCCTCATCCCCAGCTCTGACGCACATGCCCGTGTGAGCCAAGGGGACCCTGAGAGAGAACTGGGACTCCATGGAGAACAGGTGGAGATCTGGGCAGTGCTTCACTCCCTAATACCTGTCTCCCCCTCAATCTCAGTGTCTCAACGGTTCCCAGCTGCTGGTCAATTTTGGCCTAAACCCTGTCGCTCCTCTGACCCCTCGTCAATTTACTCTGCTGTGCCCAGCCCTGCTTTACCAGATTGACAGTCGTGTTTGCATCAAAGCCCCTGTTCCAGCACCTCAAGGAGACGTACTGTCTGGTCAGTGAATGGGAAGGGTGGGGGTCCCTTGCTAAGGAAGGGGGACCACTGGGGCCCAACTTCCCTTTAATGTGTCTCTGCCCACATAGTGCCTCTGGGCCAGCCCTGACCTAACATTAGTCCCAATTTTTCCTTCCCAGCCCTGCTTCATAGTGCCCTGGCAGTCCTGTTGCTCAGCCTACCTGCTCCCCTTTCCCTGCTGCTGCTGCGGCTCCTGGGACCTCGTGTGTTGCGGCCGGTGCTAGGCTTCCTGGGGGCCCTGGCCGTGGGCACCCTTTGTGGGGATGCATTGCTACACTTGCTGCCACACGTATGTGCAGCTCCATCTTCATACCCTGGCCCCGTGGCGGCTAGCCTCCATGCCTTCATGTGTTCCCTGGCCCTTCCCATGCGCTCCCATGTCCTAACCCCTGGCCTCAGTCACAGCTGCCTTCTGGGTGTGGGAGTAAAAGCTTGCTATCCCTTCACTGGGAGAAGGGGATGCCGCTGGGTGTAGGGTTTCCAGGGTCTGCTCTGCTCTACTTTCTGACAGGCACGAGGAGGGCAACATACAGGACCTAGCGAGCAACCAGAGGAGGATCTGGGTCCGGGGCTCTCCGTGCTTGGTGGCCTCTTCCTGCTCTTCGTGCTTGAGAACATGCTAGGACTTGTGCGGCACAGAAGCCTCAGGCCAGTGAGTGACACCCTGTTCTTCTGCCAAACCCAGAGTCCTAGCCAAGTCAGGAAGCGAGGGGCACTGTTTCTGGACCTCGGCTGCTTGGCCAATTGCACAGAACTTGTCTGCTACTGAGTGGGCATGGGCTTCTTAGCATAGACCCAGGACTTGTGCCAAATGGCTTCTTTTCTGCAGTTCATATCAACATTAAACAGAAAGAAATGCCAACCTGGGAACAGGCATAGGTCAAAAAACATTCTCCAGGTGCTAGAAGTGGAACCAGGTGTTCATTTTCCCAGCTGCTGGCCTGGTCTCCCCTTAGTCCCTGGCCCTGCTGCCTCCTCCACCAGGAGGGATGCCCTCCCATTTCAGAGATGCTGCAGAAACAAAAGGGATCTTGGAGAACCAAACCCTGACCCAGAGGACGGCAGTGGAATGGTCCTTCGACCCCTACGGGCAACTTCAGGTAACTAGAAAAAAAAATGAGTGCACTAATGAACGAGCCTGTGGTTCCCACTTGCAATAACGGACACTTGTCTTGGTCCTTCTTACCGCAGAGCCAGAGGTTCAGGGCCAGAGGGAGAACAGCCAGTCCCCACTAGCTCCAGCTGCTCCTAGGCACCGAGGCCACAGTCATGAGCAGCAGGGTGGCAGCAGCACGAGTATCACATGGATGGTTCTCCTGGGAGACAGCCTGCACAACTTCACTGATGGGCTCGCACTAGGTCTGAGGCCACCCGCGGGAGCGGAGGTGGGAGGCAGGGACGGGAGTGCCGCCAGGGAGGCGGGAGAGGGGAGAGCAGCAGAGAGCGACTCCTGACTTTCAAGAAGGCCTTTGATTCTGATGCCAGGCGCTGCCTTCTCTGACGGCTTCTCCAGCGGCCTCAGCACCACCCTGGCGGTCTTCTGCCATGAGCTGCCCCACGAGCTGGGTAGGAATGGCAAACATGGGGTAGGTGGGCTCCAGAAAGGAGACCTCTGAGGACAAGGTGAGGGGTAGCTTCAACTCACCCTCCTGTCCTTTGTCCCAACAGGCGACTTTGCGATGCTGCTTCAGGCAGGGTTGTCCTTTCAGAAGCTGCTGCTGCTAACCCTTGTATCTGGAGTCCTGGGGCTGGGGGGTGCAGCCCTCGGGGTGGGGCTCAGCTTGGGCCCTGCTCCCCTCACTCCCTGGGTGTTTGGGGTCACAGCTGGGGTCTTCCTCTATGTGGCCCTTGTGGACATGGTGAGAGGTGGGGGATGGGCAGGGGGGTGTGGAGGAGAGGGAAGTGCCAGGCCAGCATCTCCACCTCTAGGTCTGGAGAGTATTGGCCCCACCAGAAAGAAGTATCCAAAGGTGGGGGTCACAGGATGGGGCAGGCTTGGTGGCATACATCTTCAATCCCATCCCTCAGGAGGAGGCGGCGGAGTTCGAGGTCAACCTGGTCTACACAGTGTTGCAGGCTTAGACAGTGAGCCCTTGCCTCAGAAGAGGTAAACAAAGAAGCAGGCCTGGGTAAGAGCAGAGTGCTGACAGTCTCCTTTCCTTTCAGCTACCCGTCCTGCTGCGTCCTCCCGAGCCCCTGCCCGTGCTGCACGTGTTCCTGCAGGGGCTGGGGCTGCTGCTGGGGGGCAGCCTCATGCTGACTATAGCCCTGCTGGAGGAGCAGCTGCTGCCCGGGGCTCCTGATGGCTGATGGGGCAAGTGGCAAAGGATCAAGACTGCCCTCCTCCCCCAACCACAGGAACGGAGGCGGGACACAGGGCCAGTAGGAGCAATAGGACTTTAATAAACAGAACCCGTCCCAAAGCCATGACTACGACAGTTGTACTTGCACCAAAACAGCATAGAAAACCAGGGTGTGGTGGGAGGGCTCAAAGCAGGTTGGGGGAGGACAAGAATGGGGGCCTGGAGGATGTGGGGTGCGTCAGTCTTCAGGGGTAGATCGCATTGTGCTTTAGCCCAGGTAGGAGGGGGAGGGGCAGGACAAATGCACCAAGGTCCCCCTTTTTTTCTGCTGCCCTCAGCACCCTGGGGATGCAGGTATCTGGGCTTTATTGCTGCCCGCCAGCATTAAACACCCCTGACCCCAACACTAGCACCACAGGTGGATCGAGGGTAGGGAGCAGGGCCAGAGTGGGAAAATTGCTTAGAGAAAGATTCAACTAGAATCCAGTGAGTTGTGCTCAGTTCTCTTTACTTCCTACAACCGAGTACATGGGTCACAGGGTGGAGGGTGCAACAGGACATGGGACATGCCCCTCCGTGCCCCCCCAACACACCTGCACACAGGACGGTGGTGTCTGCAGCATCACAGGTCATGCAGGGCATGGGGAAGGGGAGGCTCACACACATAGATGCCCACAGTGGGTACCAGACAGAGAACACCCCTGAATATACACAGCTGTACATGGGGAACCCCAGGTCCCCACCCAACCCTCTCCCCTGTCGTGCTGCTCCCCAGCAGGGGAACTGTATTGCTTTGAGAGAGCCACCCTGGGGCTGCTCTGCCAGGCACCCCCCTATCCCTCCCACCCACCCGTTTTGGCACATCTGCAAGACACACGGCAGCGGGAGTAGGCACCCTCCCTCCCAGGCTTCTACGGCTTGGAGTCGGGGAAGGGGTAGGAGATAGCATCCTCCATCTTTTCCCCAGCCCTTCCCAAACCCCTGCCAGACCCACTCCAGCCAAACCCACCCGCCCCGAAACACACCCACACACACCCACGCACACACCCACGCACACGAAGCTGAGCTATCCAGGAATACGAGTGAACAAGATTGTCCAGGGTAGGGGCAGAGGCGGAGGAAGGACTGGAAGCAGAGACCCCACCCTGGCATGGGTAAGACTGGCACAACAGCTACTTTAGTGCAACTGGAGGGCGCCCAGAGTGAGGGTGGGCACAGGGGCCCGGGGAAAGGGCCCACAGGAGTGAGTGAGGGCCACGGTGGACCTCTCGTCACCCTCCATCCTCTGCCCTCCCAAACGCAGTGACAGTGTCCCCCTCACACCTACGTGGGCAACAGCAGCCTCGGAGTCAGTACCTTCAAGTAATTAAGAGCAGACCCTCCCCACCCCATCTCCCTCCCATCTCTGGGAATTTGGTCGCTTCTCTACAGGGGTTGGGCTGGGAGGAGGGGTCCCCAAGTCAGACCCTTCTTTCTCTACGTCCCTCTTCCCCGACCACCCGGCTTGGTCCTCAAAGACCCCGCACCTCTGTCCTCGCCCAAGCTGGGCTAAGGCCCGAGGGCCAGAGCCACACAGAGGGGAAGAGGCTGCTTTGCTCACCGCGCCTCCCCGCTCGGTAGGGTTCAGACTTGGCCGGAGGGATGGCCGCACTGGCCTGTCCCAGGAGCAGGGCTTCTGGGCTAGGGTCTGTAAGGCTATTTTCCTTTGCGGTGGGAGGGGGCAGGGAATGAGCGCTGGGTGTGGGAGAGGGTGAGGAACGGCTGAGTGGGAAGGAGGAAGGGGCCTGCCCGCTGGATGGAGCACAGTTACCGGAGTCATTTCACAGAGAAACGCTCCTGTGCATAAGATAGTGTGCGCGCATGCGCACTCCCAGCCTGCCAGCCTGGCCCACCCCGCCTCTCGGGACCCCTTCCAAGACCATAGAGGGGTTTTGGGGGTACAGTTGTAGAACCATTCACTCCAGCCCCACCGTCCCCACCTCCAGCCTCTTCTCCCCTCTCATCCAGGGAGGAGGAAGGTGCTTGGGTGGGCAGACAGCGGTGGAAACAGTATTGAGTTTTCCTTTGGTTACATATTGAAGGCAAAGGTGAGCTGGACTTACAGTCAAAACGGATAGGGGTGAGGAAGGAAGAGAGGCCATGGCTGGGGTTAGAGAGGGAGGCGGCCCTCCTCAGCCCCTCCACCCCAAGGAACACATGTCTACATGGGGGGGGGCGGTCCCTCAGTCTCATGTCTCCACCCCCCCACAGCACCAAACAAAAGGAGAAGCCCCCTCCCCCAGGGACTACTCCCCACCCCGACCTGGGCTGTACATTCAGTGGTTTTCAGCAGTCCTATGGCTCAGGGGCCACGGGTGGGGGAGGTGGCCCCAGTCTTAGCGTCTCAGTTGGACAGTGGCAGTGACCTGGGTCTGTCGGTCCGTCCTGGGACCCACAGTTGTGCCATTTGTTTTTTCTGAAGGATGGTACACAACCCTACAATAGCCACCGCCCAATCAGAAACACCCCCTAAAATCAGAAACTAAAAACTGGCTCTTCTCATGTCGTCCTGATTCCCATGTCTGTTTCCCTGTCTGCTATATAGCCCTCGCTCTGTCTCCTTTGCTGGGACCTAGGGCTGTCCCCAGGGCCCTCACTTGAAATAGGCCTTTTCACAAAAGTGCTTATTACTTGAAGCAAGTGCTTTAGAGCTGTGGTGGGGGAGGGGAGGGGGGGAGGAGGAGGGGAGGACAGGAGATGCTCCTTCCCCTCCCAACCCCCTTAAGATTGGGGGGCATTCTGCCTGTTTTACTTCTCCACACCCGTTTAAGTCAAGGAGGTTTAAAAAAAAATCTTAACATTAAAATAAATATGCAGTGGCCATGAGAATGGTCAGAATGCTTCAGAACACTAGGGGCTGGGGAGCCCAGGCTGGGGTGCGGGATTTCCTTTGGCATAAGGAGTGGAGGCTGCTCGCCCTCCAGGCCTCCTCATAGCCACATGAGGAGGGACAGAGGGCTCCCTGTCAGTGTTCCCAGCACTGCTGACAGTGTGCCCAGGACAGCAGGGAACATACAGCCACCAGAAATCTCATCTAGCAAAACAAAACAATGGGGCTCCCGACAAACGCCGAGTCGGATTCCTGTCACGGTCAAGCATTGATAAAGGAGAACACGACTGATAGCCCAAGTCATCCCTGGGGAAACCATTTCCCTGCTCCCCATGCCCCCCACCATCTAATTCCCAGCACCAAGATGAGAGGGAAGGGGGTGAAATGGGAAGGTTCTAGGAGAGAAAATTGAAGTTGGGGAGCAAGCTATGCAGAACCAGCAGGGTTGGGGTGGGGGCGGCAGCCCTTGAGAGAGGTCACATTGATTGTCATATAGGGAAGGAGAGAGGGCAAGAGGGGCATTGCAAGGCCCTTTGGCTTTGAAAACAAATAAAAACTAAAAGCTGCACAATCCTTCTCACCAAATAATGGTCATGTGGGAGCTTGAAATGGTTTAGGATCTGAGGGTGGGAGCAGAGAGACACAGATAAACAGGACCACGGAAAGGAAAGTCAAACACCCCAGGCTTCTGGGAACCAGCGTGAGGTATGGTGCAGGGTGTCTGTGGGGAGGAAGGGCTCCCTGGGACAGTCCCTCTCCCCTCAGCTCACCCTCGGCAAGGGTGGCGAGACATTCAAGGACACAATTTAAAAATGGGTGATGTTAGAGCAAGCTTGGGTAGGGGAAGGAGGTGGAGGGATCCCTGGGAGACCCCTGTACTGTGTAAACGAAGCCCATGCAGTTCTCAGCTCTCGGGGCAATACTGACGGCAGCCAAACTGGGCAAGGGTGCACTGTGGGGTGGGGGCAGGGCCTCTATTCAAGTTCTGTGTCTTGGCCCCTGGCTGAGGTATTGCGTGTGAGGAAGGGACACTGGGTTAAGGGACTGGGTCCGACTGTGCAGAGCTCACCAAAGAGATGGATGGACAGGGCATCTGAAGGGACCAGGGCCAGATGCAATGCTACATTTAAAGAGAACACTGCCCCTCCTCATTCCAGCCCAGTTTGGCTTCTCAGGTACATTCCAGGAATCTATCAGTGCAGCGCCTACTCAAGCCCGTCTCTCCCCATGCTGGGAAGGCAGGGACTGAGCCTCAGTGTCCACCTGTTGCTCCCTGGACCAGTGTCCCCCCCTCCACTGGAGGAAGGCTTGGCTTCCCTAACAAGCAGTCCCTACGCTGCCCCTGCCGTTCCTACCATCTTTGGCTTCATATCAGGAGTGACTGGGGCAGTGGGTACTCTCGGACATGACAAAGTGGAGACAGACAGGGGGCATGGAGGAACTCTGGGATTGAGGGACACAGGAGGAAGAACACGTTCCCTACCTCCACTCACAGCAAACACATGCCTGAAACACAGAGGACAGACTAGGGCTATAGTTTTGAAATGGGCAGGATATTAATTTGTTTCTTCCCCTAAAGAATAAAATGCTTACTTAAAAATTCATGACAAGCCTCAGAGTTCAGGGAGACGAGAGCCAAGGAGGGAATGGCCACAGGCTCCCCGCTCCGAAAAGAAGTTAAAAGAAGCAAGGTTAAAGTGCGTGGTTGGGGGCCAGGCTACAAGTGGGGGCCAGGAGCAGGCTGTGGGGGCAGAAGCAGCCCTTGGTTTGCACATGAGGAGCCAGGGGAGAGTGTAGGGTAAGGGCCAGGTTCAGTAGTTGCTGCTTCAAGTGTCTGCATTTGTATTTTAGGGGTGATAGGATATGGGGGGAAGCTCTAGGCCCCAGTGCTAAATACCCTCCCCCCATCCTCTAGCTGCCCCTGAAGGGGGAGGGGGACGCCCCCAGAGTGCTCACACAGTACCAGAAATTAAGGCTTCTCACTGCTGCAGGGATGGAGGGCCAAGCGGGGAGGCAGTGATGGGTATGGAGGAGGGGTCTGCCTGGCAGCAGGGGCAAAGGGAGGGGGACTGGAGCGTCAGAGGGAAGAGTTAGGGGAGCTGGCAGCAAACAGGGGAAACAGATGGAGTCAAAGAGGGGGAGCCAGGCATTTAGCAATCATTTTGGGACACTTGGCAGAAGGGGTTGCCCTGGGGGTACCAAGAGCCTGGGGTGCTCCCTGTGGACCCCAGACCTCTGCTAGGCCAGGACA